GCGTAATTCGAGTAGCTAAGGTAGTTACGAAAAGAGGAAGCTACACCAGACCTGTTTCCAAATTATGCATACTGCCCACTTCTACTGAGAATTAGTGAAGACTTCTTCACGTAATGGAGAATGTAGAAGATTCATCGTCCAGTATATATATTTGTCATAATATATCATTCAAAATTATTGTAATCTAGTGCCATGATTTCTTTGAGTTTGTTATTCGAGAGTCGTTACTTACTTGTTTTCTCAATATAAAATTTTGTCACGGAATTTATTGGCAATATATTTTGAACCGTTTTCGAGTATCTCTCAAGACTTCTTTTGGAAAACTCACAGAAGCTATTCTCCTTTTTTAATTGAACTAGTACATTTGTTACTAATTTCTACACTTTATACATGACCAGAATCAATTTCAGAGGCTATGTTACCACTCCACCATTGATAGACGTATTTTCGTTTTTGTCAATACATCGACATCAGCTATCATACCTTCCTTTGCTTCCCTGTTATACATATCCAATCTCATCCCAAATATTTGAATTGACTCGGCCGTTACTTGATGGAAATCCATGACAAATGTAAAAACTTCACGAACAATAAGATTTCCACAAAATCATCAAACACACGACATGTTTCGCTACTCAAATGTGGATCTTGTCCTAAGGTATATATCGGTCAGACAGGTCGTACGTTTAATCAGCGCATTCATGAACATAAGATGAATTTTATGAAAAAGAAAACTGATTCAAAACATACGCCAACCATATATTAGAAGAAAACCATAATTTTGATGATAATTTCGAAATTCTGCACGTAGAAAATAAAGGACTTAAACTCAATCATTTTGAATCATTAGAAATCAACAAACTCAAGAATTTTGACATTTTACTTAATGATCAATTAGACCTCAATAGTTCACCACTGTTGCATTTGTTTTCTTAGTAAGTAATAATATGTATTTGATATCAACTCTCTCAAGTTAATCCGGTATACCGTAATTCAATGTAGATATTATACCTAATTTCCGAAAATGGAGGTTTATTGTACCTGTCCACAGGTAACTAATCCTTCAGGTTGGGAAAGTAAGATATTGTACTATAAAAGTTAAGCAAGCCAACGTTAGTTTAGTTCATTGTACCAGTATATCACCTGACGAAGCTACTGTGTTAGCGAAACATGTCGTGTGTTTGAGAATTTTGTGGAAATCTTATCGTTCGTGAAGTTTTTACATTCATCCCAAATAGTTCCTGTCCCCATTCAGGAGCTGGGACTAGGAAAGGAAAAAGACAATAAAATTGTATTTTCCGAAAGAGCAATGGAAAAATGGCCTTATCAAACCTTGATTTTCACTGATGGCTCCAAGACAGTGGATAGTGCGGGAATAGAAGTACATTCTCGTAACATAATCAGTATCTCAGCTAGAATGCCAATCACATTCTCGATATGCTCGGCTGAAGTAAATGCTATCAACTTGGCCCTAGAATAGATTCAAGAGTTAGGTTTAGACCACTCAATAATTTTGTCAGATTCGGAGCGTGCTCTGAAAAAATAGAAAGATGCAGTATCTCTGCAAAAACTGAACTTTGAAAGTATGGGAAAAAATTGAACAAATAACAAATTCGGGGAATCGAGTAGATTTTTTTTATTTTCTGGTCTCCACGAAAAGGGATATCCTTCGAGGTATCCTGTAATGTTCAGCCATACGGAAATTGCAGGGAATAAAAAGGCTGACTACTTGTCTAAAGAAGGCTGTAAGCTTCAAACTATAAATCCTGCACTAACATCTTTTCGAGACCTACGAATAATATTGAAAGAGCGAGCTTGGAGTAAATGGATCAACACCTATCGAAATTTGAGGAGCATTGAAGAAAGGAGTTATACTCCATGAATAATTAACCTTTTGAGGGTTCCATGGTTCAAGGGTCTCCCAACTCTCTCAAGGAAGGTAATAATGACTATATGTCGAATGAGAAGTGGTCATTGTCTAACAAATAGTCACCTGAATAAAATAAATGTTAAAGAATCTCCTCTATGTGAATGTGGATCCTGGCAGGATCTGGAGCACTTATTCTTCAGTTGTTCATGCAACATTCATAACCTATCAGTATTGCATCATGGTTTAACCAGCATCAGTAGTGAAAACAAACCCTAGGGGCTTTTTCCCATTTCGCTCCACAATATTTTATTTGAGAATTTAACGGAGGTTCTTTCAATCAAACCCTACTTTTTGTAAAAATTCGGTAGGTATTAAGGAAAAAGCCTTGAAAAAAGAACTGTTTTTGTTATGCAGCAGAATATTGGAATCCATTTTTGGAAAATGGTGAATGCTATTGAAACTAAACAAGAGTAGCATTTTCAAGTGAAAATGCCGAGATTTCCATATTTCCTAAACGAAGAAGCGGAAGTTGCATAAGCAGAAAAGTTGGGATGGAATTGGGATATTTCACCACGGATCCTTTCGAAAATATTCACAGAAAACCACCATCTCTTATCGAGTTTTCTTTCAGGCAGATCGCTTCACGTGGTGGTGGACGGTGTATCGTCTGATACCATTGGCATCAATTCCGGCGTTCCACAAGGATCAATTTTGGCACCAACATTATTCCTGCTTCATATCAATGATCTGTTGGGAGTAACAACTTGCCCCATCCACAGCTTTGCAGATGATAGTACCCTCCATACTGCGTTCTCTTCCAGAATTCCCATTTCTTCCCAGGAAACTAGGAACTCACGGCGCAGGCAGGTCAATGCTGTCAATGAAGATCTTGCTGAAATCAGAGCCTGGGGAACAAACAACCTAGTTGCATTCAACGCCACCAAAACTCAAGCCTGCATTTTCTCTTGAAAGGCGGAACTCAGTATGCCCGATATTGTAATGTCTGGCTCCACCATCCTCACCAAGCCCACCATATCTATGCTCGGTATTTCCATCAGCAACACTCTTTCATGGTATAATCATGTCAGATCCATCGCAAAAGCTGCTTCACAAAAACTCGGATTCTTGTTCCGTGCGAAAAGCTACTTTACACCTCAACAGCTTCTCATGATCTACAAAGCGCAGATACGGCCTGTTCTAAAGTACTGTTCCCACATATGGGGTTCAGCACCAAAACATACTCTGATGCTCTTAGATTCCATCCAGAGAAGAGCCATTCGCCTGGTGGGTGACGCCACACTCACTCACTCTTTGACATCATTGGAACACCGTAGAAAGGTCGGCGACCTTTCACTTTTCTATCGATACTTCCACGGGAAATGTTCTTCGGAGATCTCTGCTATCATCCCTTCACGAGCAATACCAATCAGACGAACTAGACAAGCCCAGTCAGCACATCCTTTCGTTGTCAACCTCGAAAGATGTCGAACAGCACTTTATCAATCCATAGAACGGCTAGGCTCTGGAATTCATTGCCTGTGGAAGTATTCCCAACAACATATAATCTCCAAGAGTCCAAAAAAAATTCCAATACCTACCTCCTGTCCCTATCCTCCTTAGGAACGCACGATGTTCTTTGAACATTATAGATGGCTATTATCTCGGCTATAATCCTACAGAGAGCCATTTCTGGACCCTTGTTTATATGAACTTTTTTCTATTTTTGTTCCTAGAATCTGTGGTTCAAATCCTCGTTCAAATTCTTCCATGTCATTTCGGGATACCCTGTATATCCAAATAATACTTATATTTTTATTTTCAAAGAAGAGAAGAAATACCAAAAATCTAGAGAAATAAATGTAACATGTTCTTTAGGCAGGGTGGAAACCGAGGTGGAAACCTATGTTGCAAAATCGATAATAAATAAACGGAAACGTTTTCTAAAAAACGCTTGGATACATCATCCAATATTTCTAGAAGCGCATCCTTCCCAAGAAAAATGTTCTATACGGGGCGTGTCATGTAACGGCGAGTGTAACAGTGGCCGATACCAAATTTAATATTTAGAATGCAACACCCTGTATTTTATTGCATTCTTGAATTCTCCTTGAAGGGCTGATTTCATCAATGCATCACACTTGGGGTCTAGCGTCTAGCGGGAATGATTACAAAGATATAGAGTGTTCAAAATTGAGATTGTTCAAAATTAGAATTTTTTCTGTCGAAACTATTTATTATCGGTCAAAAACGCTCTCATATCCCTGCGTTAACCTTCGATTCACTATGTACTGATATTCATTTGGAACAAATACAGAGTGGTTCAAGATTCATAATTCTGATCACCCTGTATCTGGTCCAATTACATGTTAGTAGATAGTGAATCAGAAGTTGAGAGAGGGACATGGGAGTCATTTTGAACGAATATGAATAGTTTCGACACAAAAAAATCCAAAACATTTAAAAATCTCAATTTTGATCACCCTCTATATCTCTGTAATCATTCACGCTAGACCTCAAGTGTGATACATTGATGAAACTAGCTCTTCTATGCAAATCTAAAATTGCAATGAGATACAGAGGGTATTGCATTTGAAATAAAGAAGTTGGTATTGATATTTCTGTTGGGATGGATGCGCTTCTGAGAATATCATCGACGTGTCCGAGCGTTTTTTTAAAGACGTCCCCGTTCATTCCGATTTTATTCTATCATAGGTACCTATCCATACTATATATTGATTACAATTTGCTGAGAGATCTAGGATGTTTCAAGATACCTGTCTGTTACTTTGCCTGTAAGTTGACTATGTTTCAATAGTAGAACAATTACGTATCAATAAATGAACATCAATGTTGCAAAATATGTGTAAGACACATATATGTATGTTCATATATCAATTATGTTTCAGTTATAGGACAATGGTGTTACGAAATAAGGTACAAGGTACCTGTAAGTCTCATCAACAGCACATAACATATATCTGATACTTTTCATGTTTCATGGGTTATATCAAGTTTATGTGTACAATACATATCTGTATTTACTGGGTATTCTTGAAGCGGGACACAATATACATAGATACTTGCCTACCTACTGAACCTAAATTCATTCGAGAATCGAGATATCACTTACCTTCTCTCTGGAAACAATCTATAAGCTTCTATGATACTCTCATAGAACGATTTTTCCGAAAAGAATACTTTTATAAATCGTCCCCATGGCAGCGTATGGAAAACTTTCTTTGACCTCCAATACAAAACAGGTGTAATGAACTTTGAATACACAAAATATATGATCAAACCACATAATATTATCATCAACATTCTCACTTTATTTAAAAATATGAATAATCGAAATGATTAAGCGGTATTATATCTTCTCAGTTCAATACTATCTTAAAATCCCGTCGGTATGTATAGATATAGGTTCCGGCACCTACCAGCTGATGTTTTGAGACTACCAGACAACGACGTTTAGACGATGTATTAACTGTATGTGACCGTGAAATATATAGTTATATCACGTTACATCATCTGTTCTGTTCATCAACGATGAAACGGTGAACATCGAGTAGGGGAAGGTAGAGCAAAGTATATGCAGCTGGTGATAGAGTGAATTATTTGAAATAGTGTGAAAAGTGAATTAAATATTTGAAATAGTTTTCGGTTTGTTGAGTTGGTGCTATCTATACGTCAGGAAACTAAATTATACACATCCCTTATGTATGTATATTCATCATACTATATATAGGTATTTTCTTTGAGTGACATTGAATTTTATAAATGATAAATGTGAACATTGTAACATCTACTGATGAGTAATAAATAAATTATACATATAAGGATATGGAACAGACAATTCTTGGAGGATATACCTTATCAATTCACTCGAGTTTTTTCTCAAAATTCCTCTTTATATCCTTCTATACAGGATGTTTCGAAAAGAGGTGGCTCAGTAGTTAGTGTAGGTATAGAACACTGCGAAATTTGTCGAATCTGCAATTTTTGTAATAGCATCAGTATTCAATATAGAAGGTGTTAAAAATTTTATACACAATTTTTTACGATTCCGCTAGTTACACGACGGTTCGTATAAATTAGTTCCAAACATAACTTTTTTGAGGCTACATTTTCTTGGCAAAATTTCTTGTCAAGTTAACATTATTCAATTTTACCCACATCAGGAAGGTATACGTACTAGTATACCACAACAAAGTTCTTTTTGTTCAGAAGCTCGTCACCAGATGGTTTCTAATAATTTATCCAATGCGGTTTTCGTTGATTTACCCTGCCTGAAGCGGTAGATACTGAGGATTTTTTTTGTCAAAATAATCGCATAGACATTTTTTGAGAATGATTTCAAAGATTTTGGCCACCTTATGAAGATTTGACCATCAAGCTCTACGAAAACAGGTGTTCACAGGGGATTCTTGGAAACTTTTCCATGTTGCAATGGGTTTTATTGAAACAGGTATGCCAAATTCTAAATATGTCATGTTTGTCTGAAAAAAATATGTGTTTCATTGTCATGAGAAACTACCTAATGAATATATAAGCAATATGTTTATTTTTTTCAATCCACAATAATTGTTTTCCAATGACAACCTGTATATAATATAGTTACGTATGACGTATTATTACGGTCCAAAACGTCAAATAAATGTCTTTTAGTAGGACGTCACAAAAATTACGTCAAAATCATGTGACTTATTCACGTCATGACAACTTCTTAGATACGTCACAAAATGACGTGATTCACGCCTAAATTATGACGTCGTAGAGACGTCTTTTGGTTACCTGGAATTCATGAATCAATCTTCATTTGATTGTCTGAGAGTTAGCGCAAGAAGTTGAATTGTCCTGCAATTTGCAATAATACTAGGTATTGATATATATTCCAAGGTACGTTCAATAGTAGGTACCTTCATGGAAATGAGTTGAACTGGAAATGTCAATTCATATAGGATATATATTATAAAACAATACTCTTTGAATTTTTATAAAATGTGAATGTGAAGGTTCAAGATACCGGGTGACCAGTTATATTCCGCGACCAATTTCAAATGCTTATACCTCTGAAACCATTCAAGTTATCGTTGTGTAGTTTGGACTAGTGTATTTTGATATTTTTCAAGTTTTTTTTGACAGGTTCACCTTCTCTCTTGAACTTCCGGTTCTACCGGAAACAAACTAGCCATTATTCAGGTATTAGGCAACTTTTTTATTTCATTGAATCACCCTGTATATTTTTGCACATTCAAAAAGACTGGTCTTTTCTCTTTCTAACAATGTATAACAAGTTATGTTTTCTTAGAAAACTATCAGAGTTATAACTGTTTGAAACAACTACTGCATGTGGAATGGTTTGATGAGATTTTGCTATGTAACCAAAGTCGCCTTTGGAAATTCTTGTCACAACACATGAAATGCCAGATTAGATGTGTTAAATAAAGATTGTCGAGCATTTGTACTTTCTTCGAGTTAATAAAATGTTTACTTCAACTGAAAAAGATCCTCCAGTGAAAAATTCAATAAAAACATGGCATGCTAACTTTTTGAACACTGGATCTATTAATCGTAAGAAAAGGACCCCCAACAATGTGAATCGGGTCAACAATGCAATAGAAATCCTGGGTCGCATACAAGAAGACCCCACTTTATCAACACGAGAAATTTCTGCCATCACAGGTATTCCGCAAAGTACAGTTCACAATATTATGTCCAAAGAATTAAGACTGAAGGCATATAAAATTCAGATACTACAGGAAATTAAACCAGCTGATTTTGAAAAAAGGTTGAAGTTCTGCAGGAAAATTCGCGCATTAAGAAGAACTAGACACTTCCTGAATACTTTGATAATGTCTGATGAAGCAAGTTTTCACATTGATGGCAGGGTGAATAAACATAATTGCCGCATTTGGGCATTGGAAAATCTAAGAAGTATCCATGAACATGTCAGGGACTCTCCAAAAGTGACCGTTTGGTGTGCAATGTCAAAGCACAAAATGTATGGTACATTTTTTTTTAAATATTCAACTGTGAACTCTCTTTAGTATTCAGACATGTTGGAAAATTTTTCCTATCCACAACTGGAACAGGAAAATTTACTGGATATAGCTTATTTCTAACAAGATGGAGCTACTCCCCACACTATGCAGCGATCACAAGAGATTGTTTGAACGCCACTTTTGGACATTGTTGGATTGGAAGAGGAGGCCCAATACTATGGCCACCACGGTCTCCAAACCTAACAGTACTTGATTTTTTCTTATGGGGTTGCATCAAAAATCGTTGCTACAATCCATTACCTCAAAATTTCGATCAACTCGAAGAAAATATTCGTAACGTGATAGAAAGTATTCCCGTCGATATGTTGAGTCGCAGTTTTGATAACTTCGTAAAAAGAACGAATCTATGTATTCAAAACAATGGAGGGCATTTTGAACAGTTGCTATAATTATTCATGTTCAGTTTGTTATTTTTTTCTGATGTTGAACAAAATTTCGAATAAACTTATCATAAATCTGCATCAGATTTATACTCAATATACGGTAATTCAGCATTTCAGGATAACATCCTAATATGCAGTAGATGCTTCAAAGAGTTATAACTCTGATAGTTTTCTAAGAAAACATGACTTGTTAGACATTGTTAGAACGAGAAAAGACCAGTCTTTCTGAATGTGCAAAAATATACAGGGTGATTCAATGGAATGAAAAAGTTGCCCTATACCTGAATAATGGCTTCTTTGTTTCCGATAGAACCGGAAGTTCAAGTGAGAAGGTGAACCTGTCAAAAAAAACTTGAAAAATATCAAAATACACTAGTCCAAACTACACAACGATAACTTGAATGGTTTCAGAGGTATAAGCATTTGAAATGGGTCAGAATATAACTGGTCACCCGGTACCTACTCACAGGCTGTTTGGTTGACCGATAGAAAGAGGTGATAGGTGAACACATTTCTAACATATTTCACCATATATATCATTATACAAAGTGTTGAGAATTTTGATATATCATCGTTTTTTCAAACACTTCATCTGATTGATGCTATCATTTCATGAAAAGTTGGAAACGTATTCCATGATAATGAACACGCAGTAGGATCTGAATGTGAAGAAAAATGTTTGTTAGCTCGTTAGAATTCGAAAAACTATTTTTTGTAACAAGAACATCGAATTTATGAGCGATGATATCTCGAGAAGTGTTGTTATTTGTATAATAGTACATACATATGGTAAAATATGTTACCTCCTTCCAGGTAGAAACGGTCGAATCTCATTATTGTCATTTTTTTTTTGTTTTCTTCGATTCCATTTCCTATAGAAGGTTAACACTTTCTCGTCACGTTCAAAGGGTCAAGAAATTGGAGATTTTAGTAAGTAGGGCATTGTCATTCTGAATTAAACATATCAATGTTGACACCTTATGAATTTATTTACAAAATCAGGCAAACAGTTAGGTACGTATCGAGAGATTTCAACGTTCCTGGACTTTTCCAACCCTTTATATAACAATAACGTACACATTGTGATGATCCAGGAATCAATTAAAGAGAAATATTTATACTTGATTTATAAATTTACTCCGAATAGTTCATTTTGATAATTGGGTGTGTTTCTGAGACTCCTATCAATTCCACATAATCCTGGATATCTAGAATTTCTCCCTAGGCTTCCACAATTCGATGCTGGTGGACCAACAAGGTATACGGGCTGCCCAACGATATTTCCACCCCGTCCGTAATCGCAACCCAGTAGCAGATTGTGCCATTGCATACCATTTGCATAGGATGAATACCTCGTGATAGCGCATCCTACTTCTGTCGTATCAGCCCAAACCATTTGGGTGTAGTGACCTGTTTGATGATGCCTAGAAACATATGTTTGTAAACAAAATGTGTAAGTTTTCAACATTTTTTGCGATTCAAATGATGTCAAAATATTTTGAAAAACATATCATACAGGGTCCCTCATGGGATCAATGAAGGAGAAAATGTCCTAATTAGGAGACATTAGAAACATTATCACCGTCAGTAAATGTCGGTAGTAACCATTCAGCTAGAATATTATAAATGATCCTGATGATACCTAACTTCTTATCAAATCAGAATAAGTTCATAGTTATACCGGCTGATTCACGGAGGAAGGCACATTAGACGTTTCTGGAGAACGTAATTTGGAATTTTCCTGCAAATTTGGTCCCTTGGATAATAATTTGTGCTCTATAGACCTAAAATATTCTCAGCGCTGCGACGTTGCCGCTTATATTGGAAAGTAGCAACAACTTCGATTTTTTGAATAAGATACCCTGTATATTATTCCATTTTCAGATTCTCCCTGAAGGGATTTCATTGACCTATAACACATGGGGTCTAGCAGTGACAATTACACAGATATAGGGTGTGAAAAATCGAGATTATCCAACGTTAAGATTTTTTTGTGTCGAAACTATTCATAATTGGTCAAAACGGTTTTCATGTCCCTATCTCAACTTTTTATTTACTATCAATTAATGTTTAATTGAAATAAGTAACAGGGTCGTTCAGAATCAAGATTTTCAACCACCCTGTGTCTATTCCAATTAAATATCAATTGATAGTACATGAAAAGTTGAGATAGGGACATAAAAACCGGTTTTGACTAATTATGAATAGTTTCGGCGGGAAAAATTTTTGAAGTAGAAAAATCTAGATGTTTCACACAAATCTTTGTTATCATTCCCGCTAGACCCCTAGTGTAATAGATCGATGAATTCAGCTCTTTAGGAAGAATCAGAAAATGGAATAATATTTAGGGTGTCCATTCAAATATTCAAAGATGTTGCTATTTTTCATTATAAGCCTGAACGTCGCAGTGTTGAGAATATTTCAGGTCGATAGAACATAATTATCCAAGAAATGATATTATCAGTATAATCCTACGTTGGTTGCGTTCTCCAGAAACGTCTAATGTGCCATCCACCGTGAATCAGCCTGTATATAACCGAAGAAAATATGAGCGTTTTTCCCTTGAAGAGAAAAAAACGCTTATTTTGAGTCTTGCTGAAGCTTGACCCATATGAGATTACCTTTCATTCTTCTTACGTTCAGATAGTGCCCCGTTTTCCCCCAAAACCCCTTTTTTTCCTTCTACCCTGTTGTTGTTTAGCCTCGTCACGGGGCAATGCTTAGCTGTATCTGTGCTGACCAGTGCGAAGCTTTATTCAGTACCTAGATTATTTGCCGACAAGGCCTAAAAAGTATGGGTCAAGCTTCAGCAAGACTCAAAATAAGCGTTTTTCTCTCTTCAAGGGAAAAACGCTCATATTTATGTCTGTGCTTCCGCTTGACCCATATGAGATGTGTTTGTTTTCTGTCGGCACATCAAGCGTACTGTGAACAATGTAAAACACTAGATATAGGAACGTTGATGATTTTACTCAATCATATGGTAACATATTTATAACACCACTAGGCTTATTAACACAAAATACTCAATAGTTATATCATATTTTCAATCAGCCTTTTTCAGGAACTAGAATAAGGTATATCTGATGATGTCCCTTAAACAGGTACAAACCGATTCAATGGGTGATCGAATAGACGTGAACCCGAAACAGAAACTTTTGGTTCTTGAATATTTTTAAAATAGAACTTCAAAAAATTTTGTTCATTTCTCCAATTACCACAGGCCAGAACTTCATCGATCGGAGTGTTGAGAGCAATTCTTTTAGAGCCAACCGCAGATCGAAAACTTCCAGGGTGAAGCCTTTATTCCCACCTCTTTAAAGACTGTACGAATCCACCCTGCAGTGACGATTCTTGATGCCGCACAAACTTTACCTTTTGTAGTGATGAACAAAGAAGATAACTTCTGAGACTGTCATTTTGATTGTGAGAGATCTATCAACTTCTTTGTCCAGAAACTTATGTCAAGATTCAAATCCTTATTGTTTGAAATTTTCCATCCAGATTGCCTACTGGACGTCCTATCTGTTTTAGAGCCGAAAACAGGCCAAAAAATTATATGATCAGAAAAAACCTTGTAGTTTTCTTCATCAATATCCAAGAGGGTTAAATCGTGAATTCACCTACCAGAAATTAATAGAAGAAGGATTGCCAAGTGTCTTGAAATCTGAAAAAAGCTATCAGATTTTGGCGGATGTGATCTTATCCAATCTATGATAATATTAACATCCCAAATATTAGTATCACACCTGACAGGAGTTTTTAAGCTGTAGCTTTCAGTATTCGTTTTCCAGCAGGGTGTGAAGACAAAAATACTCCTCTTTCTGGATTAGCAGAAGTGCATACTACTGATTTGTTTACCAAAATGCTTCTGGAAGCCAATTTTTCAGAGTTGTACAGAAAACTCAGATACAAGGCTAAATCTTGAGGGGGCGGATTATTGATAGAAATATTTCTAGAATTTTACCAAGTACACCAATTTTTCCAAGGACGATTGTAGGTTTTCAAAGTCGATACTCTCCATGAAGATTGTAACAATTCTTTATCTGCCTGATTCCAGCCAAGCACTATGTTGCTCCACCCCGAACTTTCCAGGCCTCCAAACATAAAAGTTGAGCCTTCGGAAGGGGTTTTCCCGTTTGTAAGTTGACCAGATTGCAATGAAGATTGGGTATTTTCATTGGGGGAAGTAATGCTCGGGTTCGAAGGTACGATCTCAAAGATAACTTCTCTCACTTTGGAGCAATCACTATATAAACACCTTTTGCTCGATTCAAATGTTGAAGCACCCGTGGAATCAATATGGGAGGGGGAAATACCCAAGCCAGACGATAATTCCAATCTTGACTGAAAGCGTTCACAAATACCGCATGTGCATCGTGAATCGATTGTGTCACATATTCTGCGACAACTGCTGCCTGATTGGTTGCAAACAAGTCTATCTGAGAACGACCCCAAGCCTGAAAAATCTCTTTCGTGACCGCTTGTGTTAGATGCCAATCCGGCATTTGCATTTGCCTCGACAGGCAATCCGGGATCGAGTTGTAGACGCCCGGAATGAACTGAGCTGTCAGATGAATATTGTGCTGGTTTGTTAAATTCAGTAGTGACTTCACTTGAATTAACAGATTCAATGATTTTGTTCCCCCTTCGCTTCTTTTGTATGAAATTACCGTTCTGTTGTCCAACAATAAAAGAATTGTCTTGTTTTTTAAGAGCCAAATATTTCTCTTCATAGTTTCGAAAACCGCAAATAATTCTTTTTGGTTTATATGCCAGCTTTTTTGACAATTCGTACATTCTCCCGATAACAGCACGTACCCTAACTGTGCTCCCCATCCTGAATCTGAGGCATCCGTTGCTAGATGAAAATCTATGTTTTTGTGGAAAATTGGTGAGCTCATGTGCAGAGATCGGAGCCACCAACGTATGTCTACCAGAGAAGCAGGATCTATGTGATAGAGTCGATCTGGGTTCCTTTCCGGAAGACGAGAACAAACCCTTTGCATCTGTCTGGAATACAATCGAGCTAGACCTAGGGGAATAACGAAAGCGGCGAAATTCAGACTGCCCAAAATCGACTTGGCTTCCCTCCAAGACCAGATTTCTCTCTTCGAGAGAATTCTTAATTTTCTTGATAGAATAGTTTGTTTTGAGGGAGAAATCATTTTATATTTTTTGAGGGGTTCCATATTATTCCTAAATATTCTAATTCTCTCACTGGATGAACTATTGATTTTTTGAAATTTGTCGTCCAACCCAGGAAGGTGAGAACTTCTATTGTTTTCAGAACATGTGCTTCCAGAATATTGAAATCCTGATTTGCAATCAGAAAATCGCCTAGGTAAACAATTACCCTTCGTCAATTTTGAAAAAGTTTCCGGTGCTGAAGATAGTCCGGACGGAAGGCATGTCATGCAAAAAAGATTGTTCCTGTAATAAAGGGCCAGGAACCACTGATGAGACTCTTTTATCGGTACGTGGAAAAAAGCTTGAGACGAATCGAGTTTCACTAGATAATCGTCTCTTTGGAGGAACTCGGGGATTTTGTGTTGACTTATCAAACGACAGGGACGAGGAGAGAGATATTCGTTGAGTCGCTTCAGGTTGAATATTGGACGATATGTACCGTCTGGTTTCGGAACCAAAAATATGCTTGAGAGGAACCCTGTTTTCAGATGAAGTTTTCTGAGAACTCCTGTTTTTAGCATGATGAGATGGGAAAATACAGGCGACGCATGATATTTCTTCTGGACATCAGCATACCTTATTTTGTCCCAAGAAGGCTTACCAAATCGTTGACATTCACTTCCTTGCCTTTTCAATTCTGAATCTGGTTCTGGTATGGCCGGCTCCTGCTCTTTTGTGGCAGGGGAGAAATCGAATAGAACATTTTCTTTATTCGCACTAGGAATTAAAGAAGGTGCTTGCCAACTAGAACCAACGCTTTCGTCTTCTATGGGCTCATCATTCCACTTCTCATCTTCAGGCCCATCAGAGCGCTGCTCTGACTCTTCATGCCTTGAATTGTTAGAAACTCTCTCTAAAATTGCCTGTAGAACGTTTTGAGTATCCTCGAATTTCTTCTCTAACAATTCCATACGAGATGACACCGATTTCTTTTTGGAAATTACCGTGGGAAGGTCCCTTTGTTCTTTTTCCTCCTCCAAATCAGAGTCAGCAACAGCCAGTTGATCGCACGCCCCCTTTTTTTGGCTTTTCCATTAGACTGACTGCCTCTAGATTGAAGGCTTTTGCGTTTCCTACTGTAGGCAAAGCAAATCGAATTTTGTTCAACAGTTGCAGATCAACGTCACCGTCTAAGCTACACGGTGACTTGCAAACTGTCCAGTTTTTTCATCCATCAGGTACATGTTCATTAGCTAGTTCCTTGAGCCTTTTCAAAACTTCATCCTCATCGTCCTCCACATTTTGTATGAATAACTCTCCCATGCTGATAAGATCCGTGTTCAACGCCATTTGAAAGAAAAGCGAAAGACTTTTCTCAGTTTATTCCTCAGCTAGGGGAGACGATAGACGATAGACCAGAAAACGAGCCGTACGGCTGAAAATTTGGGAGGTACGGCTAAAAATTTGGGAGGTACGGCTGAAAATTTGGAAGGTACGGCTGGAAATTTGGGAAGCATGGCTGAATAGACAAGCCGTAGGCCTACAATTTTAGGCCGTAGGGCTGGAAATTTGAGCCTTGCAGTTGACAAAACGGAACATCTGTCAGATTTATCTTATATCCAGCCCAAACCTTCCTATTTTGGGCCAAGGCCGCCAAAACTCATAATGAGCTGAAAGGCTGCAAATATTTAAAAGGAGCAGGTGATCAGATGACGTTTGCCGTTATGATTCCGTTCAGTGCCTGAAAATATATAAAAGTACATACCATTGGTAGATCCATTCGTCGGGAACCACAAAACAATGTAAATAACACTTTTCACGCACTCAGACAAAATGTTATCTGAACTTTTGACGGGACACTCTGACAGCTTCGACGAATAAAAGCGTACTGAATAAAGCTTCGCACTGGTCGGCACAGATACAGCTAAGCGTTGCCCCGTGACGAGGCTAAACAACAACAGGGTAGAAGGAAGAAAAGGGGTTTTGGGGGAAATCGGGGCACTATCTGAACGTAAGAAGAATGAAAGGTAATCTCATATGGGTCAAGCGGGAGCACAGACATAAAATAATGTGAATACCTTCAAATTGAAGTCACCGATTTCCTATAATTTTCATTGTTACTACGTACTATATATCTGATAACTTAAACTGTTGACTCGTAAATCGATATACCAAGTGACGTAACCATGACTCGTTGAGCCTTACTTCTACTTTGCATATAAAATCCTTTGAATGGACATTCACGGATGCTTTTACGTTACTAACTGCTCGAAATTGTTACTTCCAGTTGACGTCTACTCAACCGCAATTTCAAATATGAATATAAACATTCATTCACACAGCATCAACATCCATTGTACGAACGGAGATGAACGTATATTAGATGTTAGGAAGCGAATGTTCATTGAGCATTCATTTCATGTCCATTAAAAGTTCTGATCGATCAAGGACGTTGACTCAGCCTACATTGTACGTACGAAGATGGGCGTACATTGGATGTTAGCAATCGAACTTGCATAGAAATGATTGTAAGATATCGAGCTGATATGAGAGAAACATAACTTGTGGTAGGAAAAGGAAAAGTGTCACTTAATTATGCCTTTTTTTCTAGAATATTAACTAATATGTTGGGAATGTTATATGAAATATGTTTTTATTCCTAATTGTGACCTTAGATTTTTGTATCTCTTATAGCGCATGTGAAGAAAGTCCTTCAATGTGTGAAGAACATCTTGCGTACCTAGGGAGGATAGGGAGAGGAGGTAGGTAGTGGATTTTTTTGAAACTTTTGGACGTCATAAGTTCTTCGGAATATTTCCATTGGCAAAGAATTCCAAAGCTTTGCCGTCCTATAGACGAACGAGTGTTGGTAAAGTATTGTACAACAAATCTCAAATTTCACAACGAAACCAGTATGTGCTGACTGGGCTTGTTGAGTTCGTCTGACTGGTATTGCTAGTTATAGAATGATAGCAGAGATTTCGGAGGAACATTTCCTATGGAAGTCTTTATGGAAAAGTGAAAGGTTGCCGAGTTTTATACGGTGTCGAAGAACTAGTGAGTGTGGCATTATCCACCCGGCAAATGGTACTTCCCTGGATGGAATCTAAGAGCATCAGCGAACATTTCCTATGGAAGTATTTATAGAAAAGTGAAAGGTTGCCGACTTTTATACGGTGTCGAAGAACTAGTGAGTGTGGCATTATCCACCCGGCGAATGGTACTTCCCTGGATGGAATCTAGGAGCATCAGCGTGTGGTTGGGTGCCAAACCATATATGTGAAAGCAGTATCCTGAAACTGACCGTATCTGTGCTTTGTAGATCGTGAAGAGGTGTAAAGTGGGTTCTCGCACGAACAAAAATTCGAGTTTTTGTGAAGGAGCTTCCGCGATGGATCGGACATGATTTTCCCATGTAAGAGTATTGCCAGACATTGTTATATCAGGTGCAGATTTGTACTAGCTGCATACACGTAACTGATCAATAAAATGAAGAGATTTTGTATTTCGTGTAAAATTTATTATAACATCGCGAAGCGCTTTCGGCTGAATAGCCATCATCTCTGCTATACCTGTAAGTAAGTAACATTATGGTACAAACGGAATTAGGGACAGATATACATTTAACAAAAAAGTTTGTTGTTTTTGTTGTTAAAAGCAAATAATGATGTCGTCGATTACTAATTTTCGAACCTTTTTGTAAATACTTGACGAATAAGTAATCTACACTTCCTGATCTGTCTTTTTGAAATTTCATAAATGTTGCTTACTTGCAGGTATAGCACTGATGATGGCTTTTTAGCCAAAAGAGCTTTGCAATTTTATAATAAATTCTGCACGAAATACAAAATCTCTTTATTTTATTGATTGTTATATCAGGCATACTGTGTTCTTTCTTCCCAGAGAACATGCAGGCTCAAGTTTTGGTCGTTGAATGCATCTAGTTTGTTGGTCCCCAGGCTGTGATTTTGGCAAGATCTTAGTTGACAGCGTTGACCTGCCTACGTTGTGAGTTCCTTGTTTCCCTGGGAGATATAGACATTCTGGAATAGAACGCAGTATGGACAGTACTATCATATATGCAAAGCTGTGAATAGGGCAAGTGGTTGCTCCCAACAGATCATTGATATGAAGTTGTAACACGGATGTTGCAAAAATCGATCCTTGTGGAACACCGGAACTGATGGCAATGGTATGAGATGTCCACCACCACATGGAGCGATCTGCCCGAAAGAGTGTGGAGTAGTACTTGATCCCAAACACGGTCAAATGTCTTCGATATATCCAACGCTACAGCTGAAGATTTTTCATGTCTTTCTTATGGAGCTCTCCATATATGAGGGTGACGTAGGCAAGAAAATCCCCAGTTGATCTTGGCGAACGCCAAATTGTCCTTCATTAATGATTCCTGAGCTTTCCAGATATTTGATGAGCTCATAGTTGATTGGTTTCTCCATCGCTTTGGAGATAACTGATAACAAGGCAATAGGTCTATAGTTGTTGGGCAGGCGTTTGGTTCCTTCTTTGAAGATTGGTTGGACCCTAGCTATTCTCCAACAAGGAAAAATACCCGACTTGTAAGAGATGGTTGATATAACTTGGAGATAATCGGTGTCAATTCTGGTGCACACTTTCTGAGGATGATGAGTAGAATTCTATTAGTTACAAATCTGGCTGCGTCTAAATATGTGATCCTGCTATGCAGAAGCCAGAATTCAGATAATGATGACATTTGGTTCGGTTCATGACGTCATCGAAGCTGACATTTTCGAGGGTGCCGAATTTCATTATTGAAAAAAATAAATTTGCGATGATTTCAAATAACGAATGATTGCATCAAATACTATTTATACACGGAATGATCAATATGAAAAAGGTTCGTGGCGTAAATTCGACTAGTGTGTATAACCTTATTGGGTGAAAAAAGTGCACGAATCCGTATTGCCCATATGTATAGGAAACAAGCAGAGCATTTTGGGCAACGGCAGTTAGTTCAAATCACTGACATTGGCAGTAAATTCGAATGACGAATGTTTTCACATCATAGAAAATAATAACGTATGGCCTTATAATTCACGCGGAATCAAGTCTACAGAAGATTTCAGGCCGAGAGTTTTGCTCACGGCCGATCCTTAAAAAACATCAACACATCAATGAAATAGTTGATCACTATCATCCTCAGCAGTATTTGGAAAAATAAAGCTGATGATGGTTTTTCAAAGACGAAACGTTGGATCAGGAAATCGATAATGTCTACGCAGAGTTTTCAATCGCGCAACATTTTCCCCAGTCAACCAAATCTGTATCTTTCGTAGTTTCCGAGATGCTCATACCGCCCCCCCTCATCCTAGACACAGTGTATTTATGTATAGTCTAGCCGACGACAAGTTTGCGATGTAATGCTATAGGAAAGAGATTTGAGTTAGTACTTTATGATACATATTACTCACCATGAACCATCAGAAGCCCAAGAAGGATCGAACACATTAACTTCGTCGAACCATGCTTGTATTAGATCTAATATAAATGTCATTTCATCAAAATTAGCAGTCGAGTCGCTCACAATGGCCAAATTCTGTCCTACCCAAGAATAATTTGCTGCAAACGAATGGAAATGATTCAATAAATTAGTAGGTAGGTAGTTTCCTATTGGTATGTTTTCAGCATACAATATTCTCAATGATTGATGAATGATAATATGATTGGAAAGTGAATGGTCGGTGACTGACGGAGGGTCATAGAATAGAATCAGAAGAGAATAATTCGTCACTTAATCCAAATGACATCGAATCAATTCACTTTATTGTTCTTTTGGTTGTTCAGTTGTCTCATATCTCTGTTTCAGAAAACTGATTTTTCATTTGTTATTTTGGGAACACCTCACACATCTGATGATGGCTCTCAAGCCGGAACTATAGGAACATTACTTTTGTTAATATATTTCGTGATTTACTACTGACTTAGTGTTTGTTTTTCCTTGATTCTGTTGAACTCTGAGAATATGGGTAGTCCACGAATATCTAACTTGATACAACAATGAGACTTCATATAAACTAGGTAAACCCACTTTCAGATATCGAATTTTGCGTTCAGCTCACAGTACCTCAAAATATTTTGCATTTATAAAAAAATACGAACCTTAATTCATCTAATTATTCATCAATCATCAGTCACATATGTTTCGCGACCCCATCCTACTATTGTATATGTAAGCAATCCCTTAAAGTTCAAGGTATTGAATATATTCGAACTCTGTTTCACATTGAGATGGTTTCTAAATAGAAGTAAGTGATAATATTTATCGGTTACTCGACGAACATATGATGATGAAGATGATAAAAAGCCCTAATTTCGAGTGACAACGAAAAATAAAAAAACTCCACCGCCCCGCGTGAAACTCGAACTAACAACTTATGGGTTACATGCAAATAGCTCTGCCAATTGAGCTAACGGGACACCCCGTTGATCATTCGACAGGGAGGTCGAGTTCTCATACTTGGAATCATGCACTATATGAAGTCTCGCTGGCAGGATGGTACTATACAGACTCTATTCCTTCCTGTTCGTCCTCTGGCATTGTCTTTCCTTGTAAACCAAGATGTACGCAAGCAATCTATACATAGAAGTAAGTGATAACTTCAGTCGGTTACTCGACCGACGAGATTTATATAATAATGAAGATGATGGAAAGTCAGAATTCCGAGTGACAACGGAAAAGGAAAAAACTCCACCGCCCTGCGTGAGAGTCGAACTCACAACCTCTGGCCAGTAAATATATTCTCACTTCTCGATGTTAGCATGTTTCCTCTCTGATTATATCTGTCCTGTTATGAATTTTGAATACCTTTTTGTTAGGGTCGACCTACTTAACGTGTCTTTTGGTGGACGGCAAACCTAGCGATATATGTTCATATTTGATGTTGGTCGTAGCATCTTATGACGCCTGTCTCTCTTTTTTATTATAACTTATATTTTTCATCTTTCTATGTCTGGTGAGATTCAATTCGTGTTCGAAGTCTTGAGCACCATTCTCTTAATTCATCCCAAGACGAGTTTCCTAAGCAGAACAACTATCTTTCTGTATGTGCGAAACTAGTGTAATTCCTTGATCTAAAACTGAGAGGGTACGAATCAAGTTTGAAAGGTGATTTAAACTTCTGGCTTTTGATTCGGTATTTTTGACAGTGCTGACTTCTCATGAAAGCATATAAGTTTGGACACTCACAACAAATTCACAGAAACTTTTTTGTTATTCCACATACAATAACAACTTGTTTCCTCTTACCATTGATCCAAAAATTTCGTCAAACCATTGTTTCCGCCGAGGCAGGTATATTCTCCGTATTCCCCGTACTTGAATTCATAGTAGATATTCATCATTACTGACTCCACTGGATACGATATATCATTTCATTGAAACCACAGGCTCTCAACTCAATTAACGATTTGGTAAGGGATCAGAAGGCGTGAGTGTTACAAACAATAAACAATAAATAGTCCCGTGAAATAAGTAATCCTAGAAAATGATAGAAAATACTCACAGGTTCTCCTGCATGAATCATGTACTAGTGGATTTCCTCTGCACTCATTCACCCAACATTGTGCGATGAATTCCAGTTCTTTATTGTAGCTCTGAAATGAGAATATGAAAACAATTAAACGTGGTGATCGTCATTCAAGACCCGTCAACGATATTGAATTTAATTTTATTTTCAGTTCTTATTCTACGAAGATGGAGGATATACATTTCTTCCTCATTGAGGTTTGAATCGACTTGAACGTTTGTTATGGAGTCAGGAAAGCACATTGCATCGATATTTGAGTTTGACGGGAGTCGTTAATCTATGGTTTGATGAATACATTCCATTCCAACTGCTATTCAGAAAAAGTATATTGAGACGCATTTTTGAGACTTTGTGTCAACTGAAAACTCGAATTGAAAGGATCGCTAATTTTCAACCTTCGTAACCTCACTTCCTACATACAAAAATTTCAGAAAAGAAGGAACTGACAATATTTTGTTTTGAAGCCTAGAAGAGTGGTGAATGCCAATCATTGTCAGTTATAATACGATTATTTCACAATTTTTCTGCTGCATATGAATAGGGAAGTGCAGAGACTAGCTTTGAAATAGGAGGATGTATTCTTTTTTGTCCTTGTCTATAGGATTCCAACATGAAATCATGAGAATTTTATGTTGGAAACAAAGGAATGAGAAAAAATTTGAGACAAGATGAGAAGGAATAGACAAAAATATTTTGTTTTGCAACCGACACAAAAGTCGTCCATTTTGACACCAAAATCAGCTGTTGAATTGACACACATAGGTATGTTGCTAGGCAACACTTTCAGTTCCTAGGAGCTAAAGTTCAACTTTAGATCCTATAGAAACTGGAAAGGATGCACTAGAGGTCATCAAGAATAGACAACATTGTTATGGTTGGATATTTGGGTTGAGACGCATACATGATTTGTTTTCGATTTCGGCAGATTTGGCATTTCATACCCATGCTGGAGATATAAATACACCATATTATAGTTGAATATTCTGTTTTGATCAGGAAAGCCTTCAAGATTGCTGGATCTGTATTTCACTCATTATTTGAATAATTACGGCCAGCAATAGTTTTTTGTCTCACACAACGATATTGTTTACCTTTATCTGATTACCAAGCCATAACACAGTGAAGTATGGAGAGGAATAAATAATCGCTATTATTATTATTGTTGATATGCTCACTGACTAACATTTTCCACGTCTTTTTTCTATACCCGGCTCTGGCGCGGTATTTGCTATTACGGCTGGCACCTGGTCCATACACAAATAGGTCACTCTGTGGTTGTATTTATATTGAAACTTCAATTCGAACATCCTTGGAAATTGAATACACCTGTTCTGTTAATGCAGGTAAAATATTCTCACCACACGGATTATATGTTGCATTGCATATATATGGCACGGCATTGTTGGTTACTTCACATATTTGTTTTAGTTAATTCTTTCGGTTGCACAAAAAATAGCATGTTTCATTCGGATCAAAAGTGACTTTGTTTGACTCGCAAATTCTGCTTTCGCTCGGCTTCGCAAATGGAAAATTCGCTTGTCAAACAAATTGTCACTTTTGATCCTAATAAACAATCTACTATTATTTTTCAAAGCCAACTAGAAACATCTATATAATAAAACTAATTGTAGGTAATGGGTTCACTAGGTTTCAATGTTAAGTACCTACCTAACAAAACAAATATTTCCAAATTTTGTTCGATTCTTGTCTTGAAATTCCCTTACATGAGTGCGATTAATTCCAATTATACTTATATATGTGACTCACCAATGCCCTCATGTTCGTCGCTGACGGTTGACCGGTTTGGTTTCCTACTGCGACTCTATTTCTGAGTTGGTTATGATAATCCAATATCTGTTGTCTTTCTGAATCATTCAAACTCACAACACGGAATTCAGGGCCACATCTGGAACCTGCCCCACATCTCTAGAAATGGAAATTTTCAATTCTTTGAGGGAATAATAATATCTGATGATATGCATAACATGGGATATTTTGGATTTTCCTGATGGTTCAATGAGTACTATTACTATAAAAGCCAAGGTCTGGTTTTTCTTGAATACTCAGTAGGAACGATTTACTCGAACACAAACACTACAATATACACATACAGATACAGAATTACAGTAATTATCATCATTAGGGACACTACAATGATATGTGGAAGTGTAACTACATTAGACAACACTATGTTGAGATTATTATCTCCCTGATGATGGAAATAAGGATTTCCGAAAACTTTACATTGCTGCTACCCTCAATATACACTATGGTTTTCATATATCGAAGACTGGAACTTTTGGCACGATAATACACTACACTGTTTTACCACTAATCAAACCGATTTTTTAACGCCTCGACACGTGTTTCGCTAACTATGTTAGCATCTTCAGGAGAAGATTAAAACTTGGTTAGTGGTAAAACAGTGTAGTGTATGGTTTTCATAAATACATTTTTTCCTTCCACAATTCTATGTTCCTTAACCCATCATTATGTTTAACAGTTCATACAGAGTGATTAATATTCACATTACCTACATCAAATAGTTTACAAATCCTCAATATTTACTCGCATTGAAATGTTGGAAAATATGTTAATTCAATGTTCTTGAATTCATGAATGAACATTTTTGCCATCATTATCATCATTATTATTTTTATTATTGTTATCATTATTGTCCTATTGAATCTTTCCACCATGCCATCAGACTGCGGATGTAGCGGAGTGGAGTTCTTCTGATTAACTTCCACTACTTCGGAAATATCTTCCTCCATTGTCCTATTGAAGCTTTTCGCCATGCAATCTGACTGCGGGCGAAGCGGAGTGGTTCTGTAACGTTCTGATCCTATTGATTCCCATCATATCGCAAACTCTCTAATACAAGTTCGACTCAAAATACCTCTCTTGATCGGAACGAAGTTCCATTGGCAATCGGAATCCTGAAAACATGTTGTCAACCAATTCTTTGGCGACTGTGGAAGCTTCCTAGTTGGACAACTAATATACTTCGACTCAATTACTGAAAAAGTCCATGGCAATGAGGATATATGTGCTACCCTCATTTGTCATCATGAATTTTTTTTAAATCGCCCATCGGCTGACTACCATATTCGTTTCAAAATTTCATCCTCGATAACCAGAGAATCACAATATGCCCACATGGCCTTGAAGATGGGGCCTTTGTATGATATATCCTCACAGGTGGCTCTATCTACTCCTGCTTTTTTGCAAGGTAGAGATCTCCTGGTCCTGTTTCATATGGGCTGTTGTCCAGTCTGCACATCCCTTTGTCGTCAACCTAGAGATATGTCTAACGAATCTTCACCAAAACCCGTTCATCTGACATGCTTTGCCAAAGGAAGTATTCCTAAGAACTTGAAACCTCCAGAAGTTCAGAATAAATCCAATGCCAACCTTCTCTCCATCCTCCCTAACTTCGCAAGATGTTCATCAAACATCAAAGTGATTGCTCCTCTTGAGATAAAAAAAATTGACATTATTCTGATTTGACTGACAACGGCTATTACTTGAAACTGGGAGAAGGAGTCAATACTTTTTTCCGGATTTACATAAAAAGTGCTGATCGCTTCTGTTGTTTTATTACTTCTGGTGTACATTTATGAACATTACCAATTAATCAATACATGTTCATCATTTCATAGCCCTCTCTATGGAATCTCCTGTCATCTGTCATACGTCAACCAGTTCATCCAACCTAAACTAACTACAGTCTAGCCAACCTATACTACAACACAACAAATGGAAGCAGAAGTTAACCTTTTCATTACCGCCATCATCTAGAAAAAAGCCAACAATTGTTCTGTAATTTTCTTGACTCGTCTTGGCCTAATAGATCCTCCGGCTTCATTGTAACTTCGGGACAATCTTCTTGTTGCTCTGATGCTTCTAGGCTTTCTTCAGGTTCTAGACCCTCTCGACTCTGGGTGCAATCTCCAGTAGATTCTTGCAGTATTTGAGGATGTATGTTATTTAGTCTGATCATACCACTTTCTGTGTTCACTGTATATAATCTTGGTTCTGGTAATTTCTCTTCAACTGTTCCTTTTTCCTTCATGTCGATGATCTATACTCTATCTCCCAGTTTCAATTTATTTTTGCCTTCACCCTGTGTCTTCTATCATAATCCCTCTTCTGTTTCATTTTCTCTTCCATCAAGTTCATCTTGATTTGTCGATGATCTAGTATTTTAGGCATGAGTTTATCTCCACTCATCATAGGCCTTTCAATTTTCGACCAAATATAAGCTGAGCAGGTGATGCTCCACATTGCAACTTGGTATTTATGTAACTCAAAAGTGCTAAATTTGGATCTTCATGATTTTTCTTGAGAATTGTTCTCAATAATTTCACTGCTGATTCAGCCTGACCATTTCACTGTTGGTATTGTGAACTAGAACTCACTCAACCATAATTCTTTGAAAATGTCTTAAAAAGAAAACAGGTAAACTGCCTGCCATTGTCACTCCTGACTATGTCTGGTATTCCATGACGGGAAAATATCTCCTTCATTGCATTGATGACCGATCCACTGGTATTCTTGGACAACTTCTCGATTCCTGGTTACTTTGAGTAGTAGTCTTGCATAACCAGATAGTTTTTGTTTTTATATTTTGCTAAATCTGCTCCTAAAATGGACCATGGTCTTGAAGGCACATCTGATGGGATCATTGGCTCAATAGTAGATATTTTATGTTTCAGGCATATTTCACATGATTTTCTATCTGAGTTTTCTGCATTAGCCACCATACAGCTTCTTTTGCTTGCATTAAAACCAAAATGTCCATCATGTGGTCGATCGAGGCATAATCTCCTCAAAGCTGATGGAATCACCATTCGATCATTATAACAAATCAAATCATTATTTATACTTGGTTCCTCTCTATATTTGAAATTACACCCTTTATTGTACTTCAATTTGTTCTTCACTGGCCATCTTTTCATAATATATTCTTGAAGTTGTCTGAATTGCAAGTCTTCTTTTTCTTGCTTCCTTACCATCTCAGCTGATAGTCCTTCTTTGCATATTCTCCTCAACACTGCATTTATATAAATATCATCAGATTCCTTGAATAAAATGTCAATATCGTTAGCACCTTCACATATTGGAGCTCTTGAAAGTGTGTCAGGCACATATAATGTGAGGTGTAGGGTGACCAGACGTATACTCTTTTTATAGTACAAGTACTCTTTTTGGAAGCTGCTGTTCTCGTACTCTATCTTTTTCTATTTGGAAGTTAAATGTCCTCTTCTTTGAAGTCGGGACCGTTTATAGTCAATATTTGATAATAAGATGATCAAGGGATAGGTATGAAAAAACTGAGAAAAGATCAGGAAATAGAGAAATTTGATTCATCACTCGTGAATCCGATGATCTCTGATGTTTCTTTCAATTCAAGTTTCTGAGCTTTCTGCTCTATATTTGACTTGCTATTGTGTTTGTATGAAGAATCGGTGTAGACGAAGAAAATATTTTTCAATTTACTGTATATATGAATGTATTTACCTGCTTTTGAACCTCTTTATTAGTTACTTAAATCAAAAAATATATATTTTCAATGAGTATAGGTACTTATCTATTCTGTTGTTTTTTTTCAATTTTTGACTCATGATATTGGTGGAATAGGCATTTGTTTCAAAGGTCAGAGGTATTTCAATTTTCAATTTATAGGCATTTGACTATGAATAATGAAAAAAACAATCGCCTGGGGCGATTTTTTTCATTCGTTATTTTACCTTCTACTGAATGTAGTCTTTGGTAATTTTCGAAATCTGGTCACCCTAGGCACATATAATGTTCGTCCTGGAGCATACCTTATCTCGAAGTAGAATTCGAGTATATAGTCTCATTCTAAAACGTTATACCCTATTTGACAGTTTATCGATTTGTTTCGAACATACAGTATTACTGTCAGTAGTTTGGGATCTGAGTAATTCGAAATCAGATCCTAACAAAAATTTTTCCAGGCGTTCACAAGCCCATGTCACTGCTAGTGCCTCCTTCTCAATTTGAGGATATCGGCGTTCAGTCTCACTCAATGTTTTTGAACAATTATAAACTGGCTGCCATTTTCCATCATGTTGCACTTCCTCTAGGATTGCTTCCAACCCAAATTGACTTTAATCAGCGGATACTCGGGTTTTTCTGTTCGTTGAAAATTTAGCTAAAGTTGGGTTAGATATTATGTTCTGTTTTAATCCTTCAAATTCCTTTATTTTTGTATTTCAGTCCAACAAAATTGACAATCATTTCGTATTAGTTCACGAATTACTGCCATTTCATTTGCCAAATTCTCTACGAATGTTGACACATTGTTATGATACTGTAAATTAGGCTCAAGTATAGATCTGATTATGTTTAACGTTTTATGTATTCCATGACATGACGTATGTATGGCGGACAGTTGACACTAGACAGTCAACCCTAACTAATGTGGTTGTTGTTAGCATCGCTAATGTCAATAAACTATAATAATAATTTAATGAGTATTATTAATAAACTGATATCTCATTGAACTGTAACAGGTTTGATGGTACTCCTGTAAGAATTGGAGGAACTCACGTAAGACACACTTAATAATAATGAGAAAGTGAATGAAATAATAATACTGCTAAAAATGGAGGGAACGTTCAAGCTGCCTAATAAGAGCTTGCAGTTCAATCAAGGTGTACATGTAAATTTGGATAAATTCCTAAGAAGTTAGGACATCTACCTAAAAGCAACGGGTCTTGAGAACAAAGAGGATGTAACAAAAGTGGCAATTCTATTGAACTTGGTTGGAGAAGAGGCTCAGAAGGAATTTCAAACGTTCAAGCTAACAGAGCCAGAAAGTAGGAATTTCAATAGTGTAGTTAAAGCTTTTAAAGATTATTGTAAACCCATGAGAAATGAAACTTATGATCGCTACA